CGAGGAGGGATAAAGGAAAGGAAAAATCTAGGGGAGGACAGGAAGCCATCTGATAAATCACTGATAGGAAGAGAGCAAAGAGCAATAATGGCCGAACTCACCATTACATAGAGAAAGAAAGGAAAAGAGAGGCTTACTATTAAAGACACAGAGATAGGAACAGAGGCAGATACAGTCAATCAAATGACAAGACTGAAGAAAAAGAGAGCTGATAAAATGTCAGGGAAAAAAATCTGAAGGCGAAATTAACTGTTACAGGTGCCGCGCTCATAATGCCGGCCTAAACGAATAACTCGCTGCTGCAAAATAATAAACAATCACATTTGATTTATAACAGTCCCTGTCGTGTGTGAAATGTGTAATAAACTCATCAGTGTTTTTCCCTTCAGGTTTCAGAGCTCGAGAAAGGCTGACAAACGCGTCACATCATCACCATCTGTCACCAAATCACTGCTGGGCCAACTGGGAGTGCTGGGACAAGGTGAGGGGAGGGAGGAAGCCGTGTGGCCATCCTTGTTATTAAGTCGGGTGGCTTTAGGCAGCAAGCTAACAAGTTATTGGGAGAGCAGAGTCGTAGGCAGGTGTTGAGCTCATAAAGTAGCTTTATGTGCATATGGGCAGTGTTGGAGCAGAACCTGTACCCTCACACAAATATGAGCAAAACTCAATTTCCTGCCAAAATGACACACGAGCACATGGCTGAGTAAACTTGCAGTGTGACACACACAAAGACACATAAGCAACAAAATCTGTAAAGCTCACAAGTCCTCCGTTTGCTCCTGATATGCTTTGTTTCGATGTGAAAAAGAATTCTTATATAATGGGGGAGGTTTTCTAGCTGAATGGGTTTGCTTATTTTACACTGAAGAACTAATCACAAAGTCCAAATAAATGATAACACCAACACTTTTAGCAATCACCAAAAGTTCTTAAATTAAACCCTCAAAGCAAGTCTTAACAAAGACTTGCTTTGTTAACTATAACTATCTTATAGTATTTGCATTTAACAAATGCAAATACTATAAGATAGTTATGATCAATACTGACACAGAGCAGATACAGGACACAATCCACTCTATTTCTTTAGTCTGTGCAATCATGGTAAAACAGGCTCGTGTTGTTTTTCAGAGAAATGATTCAACCGACTTCCAGATGTTACATTTAGGCAAAAAGACTGCTGCCCCGAGCTCAATCCCTCCACCCTGCATTTCATGATTTGGAGACATCATCTGTTATCTTGTTCAACTATAACACATACAAATCTTTGAACAACCATCCATAATTATATACAAACACACACACACACACACACACACACACAAATACAATGCTGTGAACCACTTCTCATTTCTTTATATTTTGCTTTAAAAAAAAGGGAAATACGCACATCAATTTATTGACACATGTGCAAAGGACTCAGTGGCACCGTGTCAAATGGAGCAACGAAGCCAGATTTGACATCTTTGGTTCAAATTGTTGTCAGTATGTACAGAGAAGGTCAGGAGTCATCTGTGATACACGGTAAAGGCTGTGTCATGCTTTGGGGTTGCACTTCAGGCAGTGCTGTTTGAGAGCGTGTCAAAATTGGATGAATTATGAACACAGGAAAAAGTACCATGAGATACTAATGCACCATGAGGTACTATCTGGAAAAGCATCTGATTGGCAGCAACTTCCTTTTTCAGCATGACAGTGATGCCAAACACACTGTCATCTTGACAGAACAGAACAGAACAATAGGCAGCAAACATCCAATGAAGCGCTTTGAACATCCTTGAAGAAGCCCGGAGAGCTACTGCAACTGTACCCAAAGACTACTTAAAGAAATTACAAAAAAAGAGTGTTCAGGCTGCTGAAGAATAAAGGTGATCATACCAAATACAGACTGTCGAGCTAGCTACAACTCTGTTTTTACTTTATAGACTGCGTCTCTTCCAAGTATGTTTGCACATTTCAATAAATTGCTGCAACTATTTCTCACTTTCCTAACAAAATGTAAAGAAATTAGTGGTGATTTAAGACAACTGCACAGTACTCTATGTAGGTTTATGTTGTGGTGGCTGCTGGCTAAGAAAGAAACTTCCACATGTCTTCCTTAATGTACTTAAGCCTAAATAGGTTGCAACACTGACTGAGTCACTAGCGAGTGTTCATCATGAGTTCCTCTAGTTTCTATTCCCAAAGCGAGGATGCTCTGTTATGCTGCTAGTCCACAGAGATCTTGAAGTAAAAGTTCCTGGGGTCATGGGAATCCAAGATTTCCCCTAGTGTTAAGGTGGCAGCTCTTAGAGGGCCTCCCGAAACTCCCAAATCTCATTAAAACCAATACAACAGTGGAAATGGAAAATCCAAAGCAAAAATAATGAAAAGCCACAGGAGGTGGGTTTATGAGCATGCACAATATAGAACTTGACCTTCTCCCGTCTTGTCCACCTGAGAGGCGAAATATAAAAAGTGCAGTTATTTGCAGAGCTACTTTCAGGTACTGGGTGCTAAACAAACCAATGAGTAGGCTACAAGTTCTTGTTCTTGAGCTTAAGTGTTGGCAATAAACTGACCAAGCTCTCAGCTCTCAAGCTCAGCAGACTTAATTGCAAAGGTCTGCAAAATATTTCTCTAAATACATCTCTACACGAAAGCTGGAGCTCTGAAAAAGTCAGGGCGCTGATAGATTAAAAATGGATCGTTTATCACATAAATACGACTGATAATTGTTTCTTCGCTTTTCTATTATTATACTAATAATCTTTCGTCTATACGATTGGTCAGCCACACAAGGGTTTTTGGGTCCTGGAAACTTGTAAATATATTTAATATAAAAATGAGTTTAAAGTAACTATAGAGTAATCAGAAACTAAATTACTGTCACTGCTTACTGTTCAGTTTTTGACACAATCCCATCTATAGCCGGCCCTTCAGAGACAGATAAGAATCAAGAAGCCACATTAACTTGAAGCTGAAGAGGAAACCAATATTAATCTAATGCTGATAGGAAGTAGCTCTCTGTGACTTGCAATTTATTCCAGTTTTATTTGGTGCAGTTTGTCTGAAATAGGTCCGGCTGAGCTTCTCCAGCTGCCATTTCTCAGACATGACGGATATGATCAAAACTGATAAAAGAAAATAGAATCAGGGTGTTTGTGGACTGGCTGATGATTCACACTGAAGCTGGTGAGGAAGATTTGGACTATTTCTCCATCTTTCTCTTTCTCAATGATACAACTGCATCTTTCCAGCACTCCAAAGACATAGCATGGCAGGCTGAAGGCACACCTCTCTCTCTCTCTCTCTCTCTCTCTCACACACACACACACACACACACGGCAAGGCTGGGTTGTCTCCCTTGTGACCAATTCATAGCTAGATCTTCACTGAAAACTGAAGAGCTGCAAATTGTTTCCCCTTTCCTCAGCTTAACTGCCAATTACCCAGATCTGACAATGGCCACTTTACCACCACCACACACACAGGAAGTAGCCTATATGAAGCTGAAACTAACATTCCTGTGGAGGATGCTACTGAGTGGCTGTACTTCTGTATCAGTCAAGCCAAAAACCTGTTAGCCATCCAATCACACGTCTTCTTGTTAACACGTTAGCTTTAATAAACAATTAAAAATTGTTTTAAAAAAAAAACAGCTGGCAGAAAGTCAAAGGGTACAATTCAAGATTTCAAGGCTTTATTTCTCATCAGTGGTAAGAATAAATGGTGTCGGAGTTCATATCCACAAGACTACATCCCTAATGAAGCACATTGCAGGGGTTTGAAAGACAAAACGTTGCGTTCCTTGTTGTTGGTGTTTAAAGGTTCTTGTATAAGACCCCTGTGACGCGCAGAGGGCGGACATTTCACAGGTGGAATGGGCGAGCTGGGACCAATTTCCCCACTCGAGTCACACACCCATAGTTGGCCAGATCGATCAAACCACACTGCACACATTAATTAAAATCACTGGTGGCATATTTCCACATAAAGTGCACGTTTTGTTATCTAACACCTTTAAATTCCGAATGATTTTACAATTTAAAAAAAAAAATCCTAAAAGGAAACCAGCAGTGGATTAATCAGCGACACCAGAAAGATTTGATGCTATTAAGTACAAAGTCTTAGCCGATGACCCTTTCTTTAGCACCAAAGAACCTTTAAACTCATTTCACAACACTGACAAAAAGATCAAAGGGGCCATTGAGAAAATGACTTTTACTTTGTTTTTAACATCTAAAACCATTCCTGTCTGCTGCGCTTCATCCCGATTTACGCACAGCAAACCATGGCAACAATACGCGCTCGTTTCCTACAATAAA